CGCTGCATCCGATCTTGTTATCAGACATAGTTTTGAAAACGTTTCTAAGACACCATTTTAGAAATACGAGCCCAAAACGGGTTTTTCGCCAGTACAAAAACCCTGAATGTCCCATTCTCAGCTCGAAAGCTACAGAAGGAAGAAGCAAAAAATTAATTTAGGGTTTTCTTGTAAATTCTATAACTTTGCAAAGAAAGGTCATGTAGAGCTGGGAGACGTCTCATTTTAATCAGAAATGTACGGGCTACAATTATGCCTGATTAAAAAGGTTTAGGTTATGTTTTAGAGTTTCTGAAAACCTGGTTTTTCAGAAAGCCTTTTTCTGCTACTATGGCCCACCGTTTTTTTTACACTTTTAAGGACATCAAACGATAGCTCTTGAAAAGTTACATCTAATGACAAATTTCCGAGTTGGTCCAAGACTTTCATCCGCGCTGTTTTTGGTTAGTACTGGCGAAAAACCCGTTTTGGGCTCGTATTTCTAAAATGGTGTCTTAGAAACGTTTTCAAAACTATGTCTGATAACAAGATCGGATGCAGCGTAAAATTCTGCGTCGAACGGTGTGCTTTTCTAAGTATCCTGGAGATCGTGGATGGAGAAATAAAAATTATATGTGATTTTGAGGAATTTTGAAAAAAACGAGTAATTTTAGGCTCTCGCCGAAGTAAAGGCATTTTGTTCGTCCTAATGTTAATATTCATGATCAGCATCGTCGATTACATATGTCTGGACGCTTTTAATTGAAAATGAAAATAAAAAATTTTCCAAAAATCCTGAGGGGGACCACAGGCCTCAAAAACCTGACCGAGAGCTGTCGCGAAACTAAGTGTGAGGAAATGTTCCTACGCATGCCCTGACAACATTCCAGTGCAAAAAAGCTGAAAAATTTGGGGGCGGGAAAACGGCCTTAATGGACCACGTCCTTTCGCTTTATATTACTGTTTCGGACACAGGGAGCATTTGGGGGATATTTGATGATAAATTGAAAGTGCGCTTTTTCAAGATTTAAATAGCGTTATATATAGCACATCGGTGACTGATGTTTCCAATAATTATTAGTGAACAGAATATATTTCGTTTTGAAAAAATTGTTTACCTTACTTTTCTAGATTAGTCACAAAATTTTTGCTTCGGAGTTACAGTTAGCCTTATCGCTCGCTCTCGTCCTTAAATCCGATCATAGTTGGAGAAAAGAAAATTAAAAAAACAAAGTATCATCAACTTTTGGTCTACACGTTACAACGAACCTTCCTCCACCTATCTCCACATTGTTCAATCGATATATTAAATTTTTGTTCCATGATTGATTTAAAGCTCCTCTATATATGTAGACATTGAACGAACATAATGATCTCTCTACTGTACTTTCTCTTTCTTTTAACCACGACAAAACTGTCTGAGTGAGTGCAAGCACTTTGACATCGTTTATACACTCTTATGTAGCCATAATCTTCACAACAATAAATGTTTACTTAACTCTCCAACGTATTAACTTAACGCTGTTTTTTGTTTCTCTTGCATACACACACTTTTCGAGAAGAAAGTAAAAACAATTCAGTGTAGAGATAGTCAAAATGAAAAAAATCGTAGCGTTGATTTAAGATAAGCACATTGAATGTCTTTATGAACAACAATTTATGAGTTAATAGGTTATCTCGCTTTTTCCATGTTACAATTAATAATTGACTAGCCAAGCTGCTGTAGAGATTTTAAAAGTTTTGATTTTATTCATATCACCGACAGAACTTTAGGAAAAGTTTCCAGACAAAATGGCGAAAAAAGATGTCCATGAGAAAATGAAATTAGTTTCTAAATTTTTCCTAAACTTTTCGTAGTATCTCTCGTTAAAAATAGAAAATCTTGGAGTTATCGAGTGTGTTGAATACGAAAAAGCACTTTTCCGCTACTCTCCATGAACGTTATTTTTCTGTGGGTGACATAACAATGTATTACCTCGACCATTTAGTCTGATATGAACTCTTCTCAATTTTCATGTATGCAGAACTTTCGATCAAGATACTAAATTTCTTCGAACCATGTAGTTTACTAATTACATTTGCGAAAAAGTTCTTCCAACTAGCACTTTCAGACTGCATCACTATACTCTTCAAATTTGGAGATATTTTTCTTCAGCCGAGTTTCTTTTTGATGTGATACTGGTTACTTTGTATCAGCGACATTTGACAAGAACGCCACTTTCTCTTCACCTTAATAGCGTTTGTATTAATTTATAATTCTTCATCGCACTGACTGATACCATCGATTAAAGATGTTTAGATATGTAATGAAGTGAACGTTGTCGAACTGAAGTTATACACCAGTGGAACACGTGCATATTTGATTATTCTTTCATCACTAGACAATCACATCCCAGGTCAAAAACAACTGACATTTAATAGGACATAAATGGCCTGTTAATGAAATGGCTAACAACGGGGTTTCAGCAGGCTTTTAGTTTAGAAAAAATAGTCAGTTAACAGGCACCATTTATTCTCCTTCTTCTGACCTTTAATGATGACGTAAAAACAAGCAATTAATTGTGTGTTAGTAAGGATCAGATTTAGATAACCATTAAATGGCATTTTATTATCAGTTTTATGACTGTTATATTTAACGGACACTTAACGTTTACCGTTTAATTCACCCTTTTGTTCTGCTGCCCTCACTACTATATATCTCACGTTGTTTTCTCATAGAAAATATAGACTTTTGTTCTTCCTCGAGTATATAAGTCATCGAAACTTGTGTTGAGGAAGTAGCTACTGGTTCGAGGTAGGATGCCATACCTATAGAACTGAAAATGTTCAAAAATTTGAAAAGTCATTTATTTTGTAGTAGCAATTAGAAAGAAATTGTCATTATCAACAGTCGGATTCTTGACCATAAACAGCCAATAATTACGCAAAAATGACGATTAAACGGTCACTATTGAATGCTGCTTGTTTTAGCCTGTTTCTTGGCCGTTAAAAAAATGACACTTTTAGATATTAATACGTTCCCAGTTATAATACCAAAAAATGGTCAAAAAACTGTATTAACCAGCTAAAAAATGTCATTTAAGATACATTTCGTGGGCTGTTAGTAGACATCTAACAGACAATAAATTACACCGTTTTCAACATCCTAAGTATAATTAAAATGTTATTTTTCGATTTATTTTAGGTAAATCTGTTCATTTTGAAGTCGATTTTGCATCAGTAGACTTTGTCCTCAAAAATACTTCTTCGTCGTTTTATCACACGACCCAATCGGGTTTTCCAAATTCATTACATGTGGCTAAACAAGGTAAAGTTTTCTGACCAGTTTCAATAAGATTCTATCACTATAATATTTTTTCTTGAATGTTACAGATATAATTTCAAATGAAAATGGTATTCATATTAGATCGGAAAATGGGTTGATTACGTTTTCACCGGTATATTCTGAACAATTAATAAACTGTACATGGAATCTAAATCGATGCCCGAAAGGTAATAAGTAGACGAAAATGTATGTGTTTCTTTCAAACTTCAGCAAAGATCTGTCTGTGTATTTTCTCTTAAAATTACCAATAGCTGGATACAGCACTATTATAGATGGAACTTACTATTAGAGAAATCATTTTTACTACTATGTTCTTAATAAACAGTAAAGCTTTCTACATCTGTTTTACATTGAAAAATGTCTGTTAATAAAAAAACTCATTGACTAAAGTGTTTCAAAAGAATAACTAGAAATGATAAGAATAATTTGTTCTTCGTTTGTTTAGAAATATTCTTTATATGGTTTCTGTCAATTGACAATGATGTTGTTAACGATTTTCCAACCATCAAAACGATATTCGCTCAAAAATTTAGCAATGATTTAGCAATACTTGTAACATTAGCCAGTAATACAATTCTCCGATTTGATATTTGGATTAGCACCAATCGAGTATTACGAACAGAATTAAAATCGTTTCCATTATCTCAAAAATTATTAATTAAACTTGCTTATAGAAAAAATGAATCATTATCGTTGTTTTTATTTGGAAGATTAATTGATCATACCAGTTTCCCGTTGTATGAAGAACAAAAACAAATTTGGACTGGATTCTCGTCATTTAGTTTTGGACGGTTCAGCTCTTTACCAAGTGCAAAATTTCGTGTTTGGTCATTAGCATGGAATTACGATCAAACGATAAACGGTTTTGATTTAGGTATGTAATGTGTACACAGTCAGGCTAAGACTATTTGAAAAGAAAAATAATCTATAAATAATCATTTCAAGGATACACCATAAAAGATGAAACATATTTTAGAATGTTGTATATCAATGAATGCACGGCGTAAACGTTCCTCATTTGAACAGATAACAGCAACAGGGAATCACTCTCTTTTTCCCATTTGTAGGTGTAAGTGAAAACAAGTGTAGATTATAGTTATAAACTAAATAACTGTAGAAACTGATTGAAACAACTTGCTTCATATCATTAAAAATTCCTTGATGAAATTGTTTGACTAAAATGTTCTCTATTTATAGATAGAATTGAATATATATTTTGATCTTAAGTTTATTTATACTTTTTGTCAGGATTTTCCCTCTATTTTAGCTGAGAGGAAACGGGATCAAGTGTTTGCTCGCTTCTTTCTTGAAACATAGTTGATTGTAGCTATTTTTTTATGTTGATTCCGAATCTGTTATCCATTTTGGCCTTGAAGCATTTTTCGATAGGTGCATAGAAACAGAATCTCTACAGACCTATTATAGATTTTCAACTGGAGAAAGGGAGAATACCTCGCCTTGCGGGTGCCGTTGTCGGTGTAGGGTGCTGCCGAATGGCAGTTTCAATACCCCGATATCCTCCTGTAGTTGAAAAGCTTCTGAAATTGTCACCCATCTAGTTACTAGTCATCAACCATAGCTCTGGCTAGAAGGCTAGCCTGACGCAGAGTTCTTTCGCCCAATTGCTTAAGCACACCTCACTAACCACGTACTAGCTTTCCGGAGAACCATGAGGACTTGTCGGAGAAACTGTATTGTACGTCACAATGTAGTGAGTAGGCTGTCAGACGTATTATCCGAGGCACCAAGACATAAGTAACTTACTCAAAGCTATTACGTGACTTTGCTCGTGTCGTGGTTAGTGACGTAGCTAGGATTTTGTCAGGTGGACGTTGTCACAAATTTTTATTGTTAGTAGATGGGCGTTGCCCCAAATTTTTTCAAAGTGGTAGGCATTAGCGCAGAGTAGTGTGAATCATAAAACTTTTAGTAGGTGGGCAAAACCAATTAGTGGATGGGCTGAGCCTAGTCCCGCCCATCCGGTGGCTACGCCACGACTCTTAGTTCGACTGAAAGCATTATGATTTACTCACTATGTAGAGTTCATCGAATGACCTACAAGTAAACAAATTTAGTATAAATTATAATGTGTCCAGTTGAAAATCTGTAATGGATAAGCATACAAAGATTAATATTAACATTTCTTGATTTATCATAAGCGAGTAACACACAAAGTGATAAATAAATAAATATTTTATGAGAGTTTTTTTTAATTATTTTGAGTCTCACCTATACTAGGTTTCTCTCAAGAAGAATTAAATGTTTAGGAGCAAAGAGAATGAAAAGTTGATTTTAAACTATCGTTGACAAAATACTTCACCAATAATCGAAAGATCAATAAAGCATTGTGATACTTAACTTAACTGTTAAACCTACATCGATAATTGTTAGCAATAGTATACACTATTTGTGTTAGACATTGAACTAAAAGAAAATGATCTGTTTTTATCGTTATCTGTCTATCACGTGACAACAAGAACGATGAAACTTGAACAAATTGTACACTGTATGTGTTAATGTTGCTATCGACATATCAATTTTATTGAACAAAAAAAATATAAAGTTATTGTATATATTTTTTTCTCTTTTATATGAAAAAGTATATATACTGTATTAGTCTTGTTATTATGATATACTTAAATGATATATCTAACCATCTCTTTTCAAATATTATTATTTCGATTTTGATTTTATTGTTAAGTATACCTCTATATTAGTCTTCATTGTCATTAAAACATGGTTTTATTATTACTTTTCCTTCATATTTTAATAGTCATATCAGGTATGTTCATTCTCTTACTGATTAAGTCAAATGCTAATTAGAGAAAATTGTTCTGAAAATAAAAAATTTTACGAGAAAATATAAGTCATCCTATAGTTCAAATATACATACATCATTATAGTTACAGCGTCGATATGTATTTTAATCCTTTACAATATAAATGAATTCTTGCAGTGAACGTGTTGATCTTCTATGTTTGTTGAACATGTATAGAGTGTATATTATAACCTCAACAGAACTATTTATCTTTAGATGGACAATGAATGAGAATAAAAATGAGAGTCTTTAGTTCGTTAAAATAATTGATCTAGTTCAGAATAGTTATCCCATTTATTTATTTTATGTTCGATAAAAAAAAAAAAAATTATAATGATCAACGAACACAAACGAATATAATAAAATAATAAGAATAACAATACGAGAGCGCTTGATTTGGTTTTTTGTATTATACAAAATGAAGAAAAGAACATAGAAATTTGATTTAGAGAATTTTAGATGACTTATGTACACTTTTTAGTTTTATGAGATAGAGATAGACGTATAAATATAGAAATCATGATAAAAATGATAAAAAAAGAATATTTCTTTTTTCACGGTGTCAAAGAACAATTACATGAATCTATTTCAATGATTTGATTGAACAAAAATGAGTAGCCTGATACAGGAGAAAACCAGAGGGTTGTTTGCAATCAATCAGTAGAGTCAAACAGAGGCGTAAAAATAAAAGATACATATTCTTTTTTTCTTCTCTATACATAGACTATTCAGTATCTTTTTTATTCTTCAAGTTTAGAAATATATTTTTTACTCTTGAATTAACAAAAAAATGGAATCGAATTTTCAAAATTAGAAGTTGTAAAGAAAAATCATCATATTACTAGTTAGAAGTATGTGTTTGATGAACAGTGTGTTATTAATAAATGATTGACATTTGTTACAAATTTAGAAAATGTGTTCTTGACTAATGATCCTCCCAAAAAATCAATGATAATATAGGATTTCTATTAGAATATTAGAGTTTAAACATGAAATTACTATAATTCTTCCGTTAAATAGAAATTATTTAAAAAGATTATGAATTAAATAATTGGTACATTTCCTCAAGTGAGAATCTATGTAGAAGATGAAGAAGACAAAACTATAGTTTCTTCACATAATATTTTATTTATTATTCAAAAATACTATATATAATTATATAGATAAAAAAATCTCTGTTTATCTTTAATAATAATTTTATATGTTACATAGTAAATGATAAAATATTAATTAAATCAAATTTTTATATTGAAAATAAAGAAATATTATTTTATAGGTAAAAATTCTTCATCTGATTTATTAAATGAAATAAGAAATAATATGGATATAAAAATAATTGTTGCCAGTTTATTTGATATAAATATTATAATACCAACTATTAAACTCTATGGTTTAGCATCAATTAAACAAGAAAAAATATCTAATTTAAAATTTTTACATTTAAATGGATTAAATTCATCAGCTGAATTTGAAATTAATAATAATTTACAAATGGCTATTAAATTAAATCATACTATTATTCTTAATATTATATTTCGTCTTCATTCTAAATTAAATGATATGACAAATGGTTATTTTTTATTACATGGTAATGGTCTTGAACTTTATTATGAATTATTAACATTAACATTAACAATTCGATTTATTGTGGCTAGTGATAATCAAACATATGAATGTGTATTATCAAATATTACAACCACTTATCAATGGTATACATTATTAATTGAATTTAATAATCAACATGGTCTAATTGTCTATTTAAATAATATTTTAATTGAACAAAATAATCTAAATCTTAATATATATTCTGTCTATGAAATAATTAATAGTAATGAAAAAGAGAGTACAAATATTATTTTAGCAAAATCTAAATATGATAATATGTATAAAAATAATGCAAAAATTGATATAAAAAGTTTAATTATTTTGGATATTAATGAACATGTTGATCTATTATCAATTGAATCAAATTTATTGAAATTAAGTCAATCTTTTATGAGTAAGTTTAAAAATGGATAAATTATTTTGCATGTTATATTATCATAGTACTAACCGGTATAGGTTCTCATATTTTATTTAATTATTGACAATATCTCTAATTCTAGTTCTAGTTTTATTATTTATTCATACTACTATTTTTAGTTATATAATGATCGAATAAATAAATATCTCTGTTGTAGACAGAAAAAAAAAAAAAAAAAAAAAAAAAGAAAAATTTTGGGACGGGCATTAAAATTAAAATTTATTAAGCCCCCAAAAAAAAAAAAAATTGAAACTTTTTGCCTATTGCCAAAATTA